AAATATACTAGCTATATTAAGAGAGAGTAGTATTATTATATATCTCTACTTCTATATAGTCTAAATAACTTTAAGAATATATTAGATAGTAGTAATTAGAGAGCTTCTAGTCTTTACCTTCTAGTTTATTAGAAGAAGATTATATTTCTATACTATAGTACTTATCTTCTTTATAATTATAGTTTTAATTATTTACTAAGATAGAAGAGAAGAGTAATTAGTCTCTATCCTTTTAGAGAGCTAGAATTCTTCTCTAGTTTTAGAAGTAGAATAATATAGATAGTTTAGAAGCTTTAGAGATAGTATTTATTCTTAATATATATCTAGAAGATAAGACTAATAAGTAGTAGAGTTATCTATATAATATATTTAAGGTATCTATTTAGTATTCTATCTAGTCTAGATACTTTATTATTTAGAAGTACTTTAATAGTATTAAATATATTCTTCTCTATAATCTCTATAGAGATATTAACTATATTTAGATATATAGTATTATTTATATCTAATAGGTCTACTAGCTCTAGGGGGGGAAATATAACTTCTTAGAGAATCTCTATCTTTTTAGAGCTTATAGTATATATTCTCCCCTAGTATATTAGGGGAGATATTAGTAGTAGTAGTATCGGTACGTTTATACTCTTAGCCTACTTTACTATATACTATAGCTCTATAGCTTATTATATATATTTATTAGTAATTATATACTAGTATTTATATTATTTATTATAGAGAGTCTTATTATAAACCTAGATTACCTTCTTCTATTCTTTCTATATCTCTACTATCTAGATATAATATATATATATATATATAGTCTTCTAGCTTTCTATCTACTTTCTTATATTTAAGGTATATCTCTTATATCTAGAGACTTATATATTTAGTATAGTATACATTTATCTCTAGAGCCTTAGAGGGCTTAAAGAAGGACTTATATAGCTCTATCTATAGCTAGACTATTAGATATATTAATTATAGAGAGATCTAGAATTATTAATTCTAGATTCTCTATATATTTCTTCTAGTTAGTATCTTTCTAGAGCTATCTCCCCTATTATTTATTAGGCGTAGATATATCTATTTTAGTCTTTATATACTTATAGTTAGAGTCTATCTATATCTTATTTAGGTAGTAGTATTATATTCTATAGCTTATATATTCTATAGTAAGGGTAAGGTTAAGTATAGATTCCTTCTTATTCTATTTATATTTCCTCTATATAATTTAATTAACTAGTATAAGAAGATATAAGAGGTTATAGTATCTTATATATAGTTCTCTTACTCTAAGTTCTTTTCTTATAACTATTAGACCTTTCTACTATCTATAGTAGAGATTAAAGATCTAGAAGAATATATTATTCTAGTACTATAATACCTTCTAGTATAGTATCTAGTATAAGTAACTCTCTATAATTATAGATATTATAGATATAGAGAGACTCTATATTTATCTAGAGGTATAATATTATCTAGAGATTATCTTATTCTATATAGAACTATTCTAAGAGTAGAATTAATTTATATATATAGAATAAGACTCTTCTATCTAGGCCTAGAGAGTAGATAGTATAGTATCTTAGGTATATTATTAGTTTATTAGTTTAGTAGTATTTATATAGCTTCTAGATAGCTATTATTATAATATCTATCTCTTTAAGAAGCGTAGTCTAGTTTTTCTATTTATATTATATATTTATCTATATAATAAGAAGTATATCTTAGCTTCTTATTAGATACTAGAAAATACTTAAGTCTATATACTAGTAGTATTAAGGCGTAACTATCTCTATATAGTAGCTACTTTAAGAATACCCTAGGGTTAGTCTATCTTTCTCTATATAGTATACTATTATATATTATTTTCGCTCTCTTATAGATTAGTTAGTATATATATTTATAAATAAGATTAGAGTAGATAGTAGAGACCTTATAGTCTAGTATATCTATCTTACTTCTCTTACCTTTATAGTATTAATATATTTAGTAACTTATTTATATTTTATATATATTACTAACTAGAATAGGTGTTTTCTATTATAGTTAGAGTACTTAGTAGTATCTTTATTATATATATAGTCCCTCTAGGTTTTATATAGGTATTTCTAGATACTATAGTTCTATTAGTATTATATATAGATAGTCTTCTAAGAGTATCTTTATATAGTATATCTATATCTCTAATAGTTAAAGTATTAGATTATTATCTATACTCTATTCTATAGCTTTACTATAAATAATTCTCTCTTAGCTAAGAAGTCTTTTTATATAATCTAATAGATAATAGTAGAATCTTAGAGCTCTACTATTATAGTAGAATCTTAGAGCTCTACTATTATAGTAGAATACTTTTTTAATTTTATCTTAATCTCTTATATATTTTTCTACTATACTTTTATAATCTTAATTCTAGAATACTTCTAGTTATTAGATTACTCTATTTATTTAATATTATTAGTTATAATAATATATTTCTAGATAGAGACTATATATATCTATATTAAATATATATTAGTATAGATAGATATACTAGAGAAGATATTATTAATTATATTTAGATTATAGAAGATAGTCTACTAGACTATATTAATAGTAGTAATTAGTATTATATCTTCTAGAGTAAGTTTAGCTATAATTATATTTAACTATATTTCTTTTTATTTATTAATCTTATTAATAATATTCTTTAGAGATATCTTTTAGATCTATATAAGAACTTTCTTATTCTAGATAATAATCTATATATTATATATTTCTTCCTTAGATATTCTTAGTATTTAAGCTATTCTAGCTATACTATCTAATAGTACTATAACTTATATCTAAGTAGTTAGATATTTCTTTTAGATAAGACCTTTCTAGATTCTTAGTAGACTAGTCTTAATCTAGTCTAATTTAGATTCTAGACTTAATTCTAGTATCTATTTTACTTCTATAGTAAGCTTCTTAATATTCTAGACTAGACTCTAAAAGATACTAAGAAAAGTAGTCTCTTCTTTCTTAATCTCTCTTTCTATATATATTATTTAGTAGTTAATCTTATCTAGAAGAATATCTCTAACTAGAGTTCTCTCTTTATTCTTTATCTATAGTATTTTATACTTTTAATTATTTATTATCTTTTAGATAGAGGTTTAATTATTCTAGAATATTCTACTATATAGCTATTTCTACTATATTAGTATTAGGGATATACCTAGTAGAAGCTAGAATATATTAATATCTAAGGCCTCTATAGTTATTAGTTAAGGGCTACTCTTAACTAATAAAAAGAAAGTTAATATATTAGTATTTAGTAGTAGTAGTCTATACTTATATCTCTAAAGAGTTTTTAAGTATATATATTTAGTATCTCTATATATTAGTAATATTATATTTCATATACTATATATATATTAGAGGTTATTATACTTAGTATACTCTATTAATTAATATATATAAATTACTATATTACCCTAGACTAATCTATTTAGTCTCTTAGAGTATAAGAAGAATTTAAGATAATTTTATTATATAGATATCTCTATATTATCTAACTATTACTTAGAACTAAGTAATTCTATAATAGTAACCTTTATATTATATACTTACTTAACTCTATATATCTTAGTAGAGTATATAAAAACTAGTATATAAGAAGGTAGCTATTATAGAATTTAAATCTATAATATTAGATAATAAATACTTCTAGTAATATAGTATACTACTACTATACTACCTAGCTAATAAGAAGAAGATAATAGTAGTAGAGATAGTTTAAGCTATTAATTATATAGAAAAGCTTAAGAAATTAGAGACTTAATTATTATAGACTAGATAGATAGTCTCTAAAAAGGTATATAAGACTTATTTATATAAATTCCCTCTATTTTAAGTATATAGTTATTAATATAGATGTTTAGAGTTCTACTTAAATTATATAGTTTATTAGTAGATTGGCTTATTAGTAGATATATTAACTTAGTATAAGACTTAAATGAATTATAATTTGCATAGCATTTTAGAGAAACCGGGCCACCCAACTTAATTAGCCTCGTAGCCTAATTAAACTACCAAGTGCTCGACTTTAACTACTTAAGCCTTCTCTAACGTTATGGATACTAATGCGCTTATCGATCTCGTCTATAAGGTGTAGGGCCAACTTTAGATCGACTAGATAAACGAGACCTATAGAATGGTCCGTCTCTATTAGTGGGTTTTAACTTTCTATCCTAATAAGCTTCCCTATTAACTTAACGGTACCTTTTACCATAGTGCATTTAATACCGGTATAAAGATAGTCTTTAGCGATAACACTACCTAGATAGTTCGTTTTCCTCGTGTAGGGATAGTCTATAACGACTACGCTAACGAGAAGGTTACTAAGAAGGTAACGGCCCTTAATCTTATATATAATAAGACTAAAGTTCCCGTCCTAAGAGTCTAGGCGTAGGGCCCCGCTACCTGCAATCTACTTAGTCTAGGTCCGTTTATTATGATAGACTTTATTAACGGTATAAGCGTTAGTAACCTTCTTAAGAATCCTAACGCCGAGCGCCCTACTAGACTTATAAGGGAGAACATTAGCGATAGTAACATTGAAGTTATCTATAGATAGTTGGCGAATTTTCTACTTTAGCTCTTTGAGCTCGATTTCGACCGGATCGGTAGCCTACTATCGCTAACGGCTAAAGCCTAAAGCTCTACACCGACACGCCCGCTAACATTTAAAGTACATAGTATTCTATAAGATAGAGGAGTTGATACCTTCGGTATACTTATTACTTTCCTTTTCTCTTCTCTTCCCTAATACTCTAATTAAGTATATAAACTAAGTAAATGATTTATAGATAACCGATGCCAGGGGTTTATAACAACGACCGAGTATTTTCAATATGTTATCGGGTAGGACTAGGAGCAGCTCGTTCACTAGCCAAACTCTGTTTTTGGTTTATATAACGCGAAAAACAAGTATATAGCGTTTAAGGCCCTAAAAGCCCTAATACCTAAGTTAGTAAACGCGAAGTATAACTACTATAAGTTTAAGCTAATATACGACGATCTTAGCTTAGTAAATTTAATTATCTAAAGTAGAGAAGATCTTACCGTCGTTGGAGTAGTGGACCTCGAGTAGTTATATATTGGACCCGCCCAGCTATTTGGCTTAGTACCATGGTAGCTTCTCTAAGATAGACCCGTTAATAGCGCGTGGGACTACGAGGGCGATAAGCCGCCTAAGATCGCTACCTGGTACTTTAAGTACCTAGAGATGTTTATCCGTATCTTGTAGGAGGAGGAGAAAAAAATACTAGGGCATAAAGAGAGAGAGCTCTCTAGTCTCGTTAAGTAGTCGTAAGCCTCTAGGGCCATGTAGCTATATATACTTCTCTTATCCGGCTTTAACGACTATCGTAGCTTTCCTTTTATATAGCTACGCTAGCATTTAGGGGCTACTAAGTGGGCGAAGCGTAAGGAGGAATGTAATAACCTAGAAAAGCTTAAGGCATTCGCGGCGCAAAAGGTTAGAGAGTTAGATAAGTATAATAAAGCCTTAGAGAAGAGGGAGGGGGATAAAGTACTCGTGGATAGCGGGAAGATGATAAAGGAGGTATTCATTATAAACGCTCTGTACTATAGTGCGTAACCCTGTGCTTTATAAGTGGAGGTTCGTCATCGTTATTTGTAAGTTAGGTTTCCACGGTCTATAAGGTAGCTTAGTAATCGTTGGGGGCTTCTATCCTAAACCTACGCTAGCTAGAATAGTAAGCTATAGAACTATAGTATATAGTAAAGTAGACTAAGAGTATAGATACTCTAATACTACTACTACTAATATCTTCTCTATAATACTAGAAGATAATATATTCTATAAACCTAGAGAAAATAAAGATCTTAAATAAGATTATATTCTCTTCTCTAGAACTAGTAGATCTATTAGATATTAATAATATTAAATATCTAGATATAATTAATATTCTCTAGAAGGTTACTAAAGAAGATATATTTAATACTATTAAGATACTACTAAATAATAAAGTATCTAGACTAGATAGAATACTAAATAGAGATATTAAGGATACTATATAAGCTACTCTACTACTTATTAGTTATATATTTTAAATATATATTAAGAATAAATATTATCTCTAAAGCTTCTAAGCTATCTATATTATTATATTATTAAAGCTAGAGAAGAATTCTAGGTCTCTAAAAGAATAGAGACTAATTACTTTTCTTTTCTATCTTAGTAATATAAGAAGAGATAGGTATAGATATATATATAATATTCCTTAGATAAGGAATATATACTTAAATAGAGTTATATAATAGAATCTAGCTATAATAGACTATTATATAATAAATAGATTAGTAGAGTATAGCTTAAAGATAATAAGAATATAGTATAATTCTTAAAGTAAAGACTAGATAGAGAGAGAACTAAATATATAGAGAGACCGCTCCTTATATATTCCTCCTTATATATTCTAGATTCTTCTCTCTATTAATAATAGAAATCTTCTAGACCTCTAGACGTACGTATATATTCTATAGCTCTAGTAGTCTCCTTAGAATAGAATAGAGTAGAGTAGAACTCTACTTAGACTCTCTAGAGTAAGAGTCTATATATAGAGAACTAAGTGAAAATGAATTAGAAGAAGACGAAAATTACATAGATAATGAGTCTATATATAATTTAAATACTCCTAAAATTACAGCCGAGTCGGGTGATAATTATAGTTAGAATTAATTTATAAATACTAGAGAAAATTAACCTAGACTCTCTAGAGGGTCTAGAGACTCTAGATAATAACCTAGATAGTCTATAGACTCTATTAATTCATATTTAGAAGAGGAATTAGCTTATACTAATAATAGTAATATTAGTTCTAATACTATGTGTTATTATACTTATAATAGTCTATTTGAATTTAGTACTTATAATATATCCTTAGATATTATAGAGCCTAAATTATATAAACAAGCTATAAAAAGTACACATGCTATAGAATGGAAAAATACTACTATTAAGGAGTATAATAACTTATTAAGTTAAAATACATAGGATTTAGTAGATAAACCTAAGAATAGTTCTACTAATATAATCTCTAGTAGATGGGTATTTAAAATTAAATTAAACCTAGATAATACCATTAATAAGTATAAAGCTAGATAGGTAGCTAGAGGTTTTCTATAAAAATATAGAATAGATTACGTAGAAACTTTTACTTATACTACAAGACCTATAGTAATTCGTTTATTACTACTTATAGGCGGGTTATATAACCTTAAAATACATTAATAGGACTTTAAATTAGCTTTTCCTAATACTAAATTAAAGGAAACTATATATATATACTAGCTAGAGGGGTTTATAGACTCTAATTACCCTAATAGAGTCTATAAATTAAATAGAGCTTTATATAGACTTAAATAATTAGCTAGAGAGTGGTAAGACCTACTTAAGGATATATTAATATCCTTAAAGTTCACTTAAATTATAGCTAAAAATGTAGTCTATATTAGAGATAATCTAATTATTTCAGCCTATATAGACGATATATTAGTTTTTATACCTAATACTAAAGATATAGATAACTTCTATTTAGAGATAACTAAGTACTCTAAATTAGATATATCTAATCTAGGGTAAGCTAAATATTACCTAGGAATAGAAATAAAGAGAGATAGAACTAAAGGTTCTATTATATTATCTTAATCTTCTTTTATTAAGAACTTATTAATTAAGTTTAATAAAGAGAATATAAAGCCATCTAAAATACCTTTATCTCTAGGTGTTAAATTAGATAAAAACCCCTTATAAGCTAAATTAAAAGATATTAGATAATTCTAAAGGGAAATTAGTTCTCTTATCTATTTAACTAGTCTAACTAGATGTAACCTAAAATATCTAGTAGGCTATCTAGCTAGATTTATATCTAATCTAAGTCTAGAATACTTTAAGGCCTTAAATAAGCTATAGTAATATATATTATTTTCTAAGGATTTAGAAATGGAGCTCTATATTAATAAAGACTCTAAATCTAATAATATAATAGCTAAAGGTTATATAGACTTAGATTGGGGGGGGGATATATCTAGAAAAAGTACTACTAGATATATATTCCTTATAGAGAATAACCCTATCTCCTAGGATTTAAAATTATAAAAAACTATAGTACTTAGTTTCTATAAGGCTAAATATATGGCCCTTAAGGAAGTAACTAAAGAATTATTATATATTAAGTCTCTTATTACTTAAATTCCTATATTAAATAATATAGAGATTAAGGACTTATATATAGATAATTAATTAGCTATAGAAATTATAAAGAATCCAGCCTATTATGCTAGAACTAAGTATATAGACATTTAATACCATTTTATTAGAGATAATTACCTAAGGAAGGTAATTAATCTAATATATATGTATACTAAGAACTAAATAGTAGATAGTCTAACTAAGGCAGTTAACTACTCTATATAGAAGTATTTTATAGACTCTATTAATTTAATTAATAGAGCTAAAAACCTATAAAAATAAAAAATAGTATATAAGGTATATATATATATATATAATAATAATAATAATAATAATATTGTATAACTAGGTAGAGTAGTACTCTATAGGCCTATGCCTCCTCTAGTCTAAGCCACTATGTAAGAAGAAACCCCATAGGGAAAAACTTCCTTATGTCTATAACTACATCTCGTTAAACCTCTGTTTCGTCTTAAGTATATAGCCATAGGGTACACCTATTAGCCTATAGCCTATATTACCGTTATTTTACCCTTAGGTAGCACGTGTAGGTGCGGAGGTTATTAGTTAAGGGCTGCCCTTAACTAATAATCGGGGTTCTCCTAGGGTTCTTCCGGTATATGTCGGGTTACTACTAGCGTATACCGGGTCTCTTCCGGCATATATTTCCGGGTCTACTAGTACTAGAGGAGTAGTAGATATATAAGTATCTATTAGGAGACGTCCTTAGAGTACTTATTAAGCTATTATACGACATCTAAAGTCTTCATAACGTGGATAAGCCATTACCGTTATATATAGAGGTTAGGGCATATAGCTAGATAGTAGCGTATTATACCTCTCCGGCCGCACGTCTTATACTATAGGGAGGTATCGGGAACGCCTCTCTTATAGATATAGTATAGAAGTTCTATGGCGCCCGTTCGGGCTTAGATAAGTATAGATGCTTAGGCTTTCGTTAGCCCTTTATATATCTATTTACTCGGTTCCTTCTATGGCCCTCGAATCTACTCTAGGTACCTATCCTACTAGAAGGTCTAGTAGGCACGGAGTGTCTCTTTCTACTTATCTTAAGTCCACGACCGTATATTTTTCACGAGTTCTTAAAGGCTCTACCGGTCTAGGAGAGCGTCCGGGTTATCTCGGACTTCTTATACTACTTAACTAGAGTCGGCTTCTATTAAGTACCTATACTATATTCGATTCCGGCCTATATATAGGAGTACGCGGTAATATATACTAATTCGTGCACGTAGCGCGGCGAAAGTATATTCTGCGTTTTCTATACGTTCCTATACTTATTATTTAGTGAAGTATACTACCCTCTATATCTAGTAGAAGTTATATATACTTATGACGTCTATCTCGCGTCGTAGTAGTACCGTGTTAATAGCTTTATATACGCCTAATATAAGACGGAGTATGCGGTTCTATATAGATTCGAGCTTTATTCGCCTAGTCTATATAAGGGCTATATACTAGTACTCGTGTCCGTACGTGAAGGCGGGTCGTGCTATAGATATATATAGCTAGCGTGCCTTATCCCGGGCGGTTCCCTACGTGGAGGCTATAATCCGTTATATAGCGGCTTCTACCTAGAGGGCCCTAGAGATAGCGTATACCACTTATGGTCCCTATTTAAGCTTACTATCTAGTATAACTCCGAGCGCGCGTATGCTTTATACTAGTAGTTCGTTAAATGCGTCGATTCGGGGGCGTTATTCGCCTTCCCTAGTTGCCTATTTCCCTTAATGATTAATAAAGTACATAAGCTGGTATTTCTCCGGGGCGAACTTTACTCTATAGCGTTTTACCTACTAGAGGCACCTCTTATAGTCCTGTTCTAGTCGTCTACACGTTCGGTTGGTATTATTATCGATGGCTAGGAGGTATATATTATCGGCGTATCCGACTACCTCTATATACTTTATTCCTTAAAGAAGGTCTACTATAAAGAAGAGGAATAGAATCGGAGAGATGGTACTCCCTTATAGGATGCTGCATACCGTCTCTTTATATTCGCTCTAGTACCTAGGGATATATATCTAAGTTATTCTTCCTATAAGGAATGACTATATAAAGCGTATAATCTATTCTAGTATTCGTCTTATCCGGAGATTATAAATAAGTCTTATGTGGTTTACCTTATTAAACGCTCTGGCCATATCGAGGGAGAGGAGCGATACTACCCGTCCCTATTTCTATGCGGCCTAGACGACTTTAATAATATATTAGATAGCTATTATTAGGGAGCTATCTACCTTTGCCTTCTGGTTCGGAGGGAGGAGATTATATTCCTATACCGCGGTACTTATCTTCTTCGCTATCGTAGCCTCTAGTATCTTACCTAGGTAGAAGAGAAGGGCGATTAGTCTCTATCCCTTTAGGGAGTTAGGGCTCTTTCCTAGTTTTAGGAGTATAATAGTATAGGCGA